TATCTATAATTTTAAATATTTTGAAAAAACATTGAACCAAAATCAAAAAAAAAAAAAAAATTGACCCGTGTTTGCTAGTCCAAAGTTTTTTCGATTAAAATGATAATTTTTGATATACCATATAAATCAATTTTGCAGTTTTATGAAAAAATTATATATTCTTTCATGTATTGAAATTGTTTTCCCATAAGTAATCAATTGTGTTTAATTTATACATGTGTTTCATTTTAAATTATTAAATATAATAACACGTGTAAAATTATTAAATATACGCTAGAATTATAAAACAATACACTAATGATAAATATGCTCAAAGTCGAAGTACAAAATTAGACAATTCAAAATTGAACATTATATTTGGTGTTAGTTAATATTGTAACATTAGGTCTTATATTATTCACTGATATTATATTTTTGTTAAAAATATTGTTGAGTTGAAGCCAGTAACGACCAATGTTGGTGTAAATTTTAGGTGTTAGTGTGTGTTTGGCTCCTAAGGACAAAACAAATTTCAGCATGATCATAGCCTAAATTAAAACTCATGCTTAAAGTTAAACAAAATTAACATTTTAGGTATGAACTTTTTAAACTCTCTATTTATAGATTTATTGAATACCGATTTTCTATTTTATACTCATTCTGTTCCAAAATTATTGTCTACAGATAAAAAAAACACACTAAGGAAAACATTAATTACCACAAACTTTATTCAATAAAATGATAATTTTAACATTACTTTGTATTTTATGTTTCATTAAATGTTAAGTTGGTTAAGTAATAATGAGAAAATATTTTGATAAAATGTTATTTATTTTTAGAATAACTATTGTTTTTTATACCGAGTTTGTATGTACCCATCTTACACGAGGAGCATGGTTCAAAGTTTGTTTCTAGAACAATGTCTATTTGTATACATTGTCCTTTGTATTCCTTGTCCTTTTGTATTCCGGGATGAGATGAGCGTTCATGAATACTTGAAACAATTTTGAGAAATTAAAACACATCCGGAAAATAAATAGTTTATATAAAACAAATTTAAAAACCTATGGATTTAACCGAGTATAACTAAACTAACCAACACAAACATATTGCCTTTCATGAAAAATACCTTGGTTGAATTCTCTATAAGTTTGATGTAGAAACCGTGTTCAACACACTAGACAAATTTATGAAAATCTACACAAGCAACTACGACGCTAGTTCTTTGAACCAACCAATAAGTAAAACCACATTTGTTTCTATTTTTAATTAGTCAACTACATATCCCAAAACTAATCACTTTGCTTAAGCAATCAACTTTATTAGTAATTATATATATATTATATATATATATATATATATATATATATATATATATATATATATATATATATATATATATATATATATATATATATATATATATATATTAGGTGTTACACCTGTGTATTACACGCATTGATTTAAAAAAATTAATCATTAAATTAAAATGTAAATAGAAAATATTTTTTAATGTACAACTTTAAAATAAGAAAAAAAATATTTATTGCAATTTAATATCATATATATAATATTTAATACTTTACATATATAAGTATATGACTTTAATTTTAAAAATTGAAACAGATAAAAAATTGACAAGTGGATAATATTTATTTCAAAAATATCATAAAATGATAATTATCAAAACTCATGGGAGATTGACATGTGGTAAAAAAAAGCTTCATTTATTAAGGAGGATATATATATATATATATATATATATATATATATATATATATATATATATATATATATGTATATATATATATATATATATATATATATATATATATATATATATATATATATAGGGTTAAGTTCAAATGAGAACATTATTTACTGTGAGAACGTGAGAACACTACTTTATATTACTATTCTACTATGAATTTTGTATATACAATGATATGACATTATTCATCAATAAATATACGAACAATCACACATTAATATTCACATTAAAATTTTGTATGTACAACTTTATGATATTATTCATCACCGAATAGATGAACAATCACATATTTAACATTCACATTAAAATTTACTAAATTACTATACATATATATAAATTTTATAGTAGAATAGCAATATAAAATTGAATATATTCATATTATAATTACTACAATTATATACATATTAAATTCATAGTAGAATAGTAACATAAAATAGTGTTCTCACGTTCTCACATTAAATAGTGTTCTCATTTGAACTTAACCCTATATATATATATATATATATATATATATATATATATATATATATATATATATATATATATATATATATATATATATTAGTGAGTTTAGTGTTATCAATATAATTTAGTGTAGTTATTATTAATACTGAGATAGACTGAGTTCTATTTACTAAACGAGACTGAAAGTGCGAGATACACATTCAGAGTGATAAATATGAACTCAGGAATGACACGTGTCAGTTTTTTACAATGTCACTTTGACACGTGTCATTTTTCTATTATTATTATTATTATTATTATTATTATTATTATTATTATTATTATTATTATTATTATTATCATTATTTTGCCAATATCTTGGTTTTTTTTACATTTTTTTTTTATCTATATACAAATGTTAAATATACCGACCGTGGTTTCCACGGGGTATAACCTAGTATATATATATATATATATATATATATATATATATATATATATATATATATATATGGAGAGAGAGAGAGAGAGAGAGAGAGAGAGAATCCATTGAGAACTTGAATATTCATAAAATTTCAAGAACTTTTTCTAAAACCGTATTCCTTATTTATTTTTAAATTTTTTAACATTCAAATGTTAATTTAAAGCTTAATTAACAAAATTGTTTAAAAAAAAAATAACATGTTTTTTCAGAAATGTACGTATATAGAAATTTCTAATGTACACATACGTACATCAATTTTTGTATAAATGCATATTTTTAAAATAGATTTTTTTTTTCTTTTCAGTGACCAATACCACCTAAAATGTTTTTCTAAATGATATATAATTTTTTTTTTTTTTTTAAGTTTTGATAAATTTTTGAGTTCTCAAAAATGTTTATCTATGCATACGTTCAATGTCTTTACCATTAACTGTTTGGAAATAAATATTCAAGACGTATGTATAGATAAACATTTTTAAAAGTTTATAAAAGTATCTTCATTTAATATAAAAGTTTCTTTATTTAGAATAATTCAAATAAAGTATTCTATCTAGATTTATTATTATTACTTATTTTAATCAAATAACGGTTGATAATGAAACGCCAAACTAGGAAGTGCATTGGCCGCATAAATTATAGTGATGACTAATGACTCATATTTTAAAATGGAACCATTAGTTCTAAAGCATTACTTGCTTGGGAGGAAAGTTCTCAACTTTTAAAAAATATAATATTTATTTTAAATTGTTTTGAAAACTATAATATATTCTTATCCGAAAAACACTAGTTATAATATGGTTATTTATAAATAAATAAATAAATAAATAAAAAAAAAAGAACCAAAATATCAAAATTTCACAAATAATCGCTATAATCTTCAATCTTCTAAATGTAAAAATTCCATTACATTAATGGACAAAGGTCCTATAATTTCATAACAAAAAATTATTTGGTCCCTTAGCCCTTAAAATTTACTTTTAACCATTAAAGTTTTTTAAATAATCAATTTATCTTTAAACTAAATCAGAATTTGTAAAAAAAATAATATATAAGTACAATTTCTATAACCTATTAGCATTATCTTATTTCATTTTGTATTTTGTATTTTGTATTTTATACAACAATTAGTAAGATCTTCAAGTTACTTTGAGAGATTAATTAGCTGCTAATTGTGAAAAAAAAAAAAAAAAAAAAAAAAAAAAAAAAAAAAAAAAAAAAAAAAAAAAATCTCGGTTTTGGTAGCACAATATTGTAATCTCGTTTTCATATCCTCTCGGTTTTGGTAGCACACCGATGGTGGAAACCCCAATATCACGTTCTTTGCGTGATTGATAATATTTGTCACATTAACGATTTCTATTCAATTTTCGTTATTTCCATTTTGTTGTTTGTTTATTCGGGTTCATAAACATATTACGTAAAATCATGACATGTTCTAGTAAAGAATAATGAATCTACGTTCACTTTTGTTCTGCTCCACGAAGCTTAGTTTGACTTTATTTTTTCCCGTTATAACCAAATATTAAATGTCCATCTCCTATTTTCTATGTCATAGTGACATGGTCAAACACATGTCCAAAGAAACAAGGTTTCTATGAAATCTTGGGTATCCCATAAACCATGCAAATATTTTTGGAGCATCACAAACTTATATTTTGTTGTTGTTTCCTCATATACATTCCAAACCTTTGAGGCATTTTAGGATCCCCTTCAAACCTTAGAAATCAAATTTCATCTTTTAAACAAGGTATATAAACCCTCATCTTCTTTCTCCTTAATACCCTTTTTTTTTATCTCGATCATTAATAAAAATCATAACTACTGATTTTGAGATACCCAAGATCAAGACCAGGATTCTTCTTTGAAGTAAGTTTTTTATAAAATTGGTATTTAGTTTGAAATTAATAGCCTAATTAAAATTATGATCACCTTATTTGTAATTGATAAAACTGGTATTTGGCATGAAATTCATAGCCCAAATTCTCGGTTAGTAACAAACATATACGTTTTTCTATCTTTTTTATAATTAAAGGTTTGATTTTTATTTGACAACAAAATATTATTGTGTTTTACTAGGTATCTAAACCATGAAAGTATCATAATCAAGTTTACATTTTATACTAGTTGGCTACAAAATTTTGCAAGAGAATTTGGTTCTTGAAAACGCACAATATTTCTAATATATATAAGTGGCGCCCATTTGTCTTAACCAGTAATTTTGGTCGCAATTTCTCTATATATTGTCAATGATAAGCTCATGTATTGCGCTACAATTGCAGGTTCTATAAACTAAAAGCTCATGATTTGAATATTATTAATAAAATGGCATCAAAAGCACTCACTAAGGAGAAGAAAGTAACATCTTCCTCGCAACAAACGGGTAAACCTACAATCGTGCCACAAAAGAATACCACAAACCTTTCCTCAACAAAGAACACAACCCTATCAACATCAAATGAAACCAAAAAGACTCGACCAAGCCCCGTTTCATCCTCTATTCCAATAACCAAAAAACAACATGTGCCCGATAAAACCAATCCCCGAAGATCGATAGACAAATCTCCATCCCCTTCTTTACGCAGTCCATCTCCGATCACCAGAGGTAGGCTGCGTAGTCCTTCTCCGGCGACCAGAGATAGACTGCATAGTCCATCTCCAGCGAGCAGAGATGGTCTGCGTAGACCATCTCCGACAATGAGAGATAGACTTCGCAGTCCTTCTCCGGTGACTAGAGATAGACTGCGTAGTCCATCTCCGACAATGAGAGATAGAAGCCCTAAAATGTCATCTTTATTATCAAAAACACCTCCTTTATCCAAACGTAAAGACACCCCAAAATCTCCGCCACTTCCGAAACCACAAAAACCAAAAAGCCCTAGTATCGAAAGTACTATGAAGCAAACTAAGCCAACAATAAAGCTTGCTCCAAAATCAAAGCCAAGCGAATTTGATCTTAAAAGACAAAAAGATCAAAACACCATGAATCTTGAGCAAGATTTTGAAAAGATCCAACATGGAGATGAAAGTGATTTCAGCCATGAAATGGAGTCGGAAGATGGTGGATACACCACACACTCTGAGCGGTCTCCGATGGCTTTGGAAGACGATCATGAAATGCCTCCATCACGCAATGGATCTGACACGGGTTCACAATGTAAAGAATCCTTTGAAGAACAAGAAACTGAAGATCTTCAATATAATTTAGAATTAGAATCAGAACAAGAATCAGAGCAGAAGCTAGAAAAAGAGCATAAAGTAGAGCCCGAAATGGAGCATGAGCCCGAGCCCATATTAGATCCAAGCCCCAAAATGGAGCACACAGAGCCAACACTGGAACCAGAATCAGAACCACAAGTACTAGACCTTAAGCCGGAGCCAAATTTGGAACCAGAACCAAACTTGGAACCAGAATCAAGTCCGAAGCCTGAAATGGAGCATAAACCAGAACCAAAGTTGGAGCCAGAAGCAAATCCGGAGCACAATGAGGAGGACAAGCTAGAGACGAAAGATGGAGAAGAAATGGACACTAAAAACATGGAAGAGGAGAAGATGGTATTGGAAGAGAACGTAAAGGTAGAAGGTGGCGGAAATGAGGTGAAAGGCGGAGATAAGGCAGCGGATGTAGTAATAGTGAAAAGCACAGAATTGAAGGATAGTGCAGTTTATAATAACGTGATAGAGGAGACTGTAAGTAAGCTTCGTGAAAAAAAGATAAATAAAGTAAGCGCATTGGTTGGTGCATTTGAAACAGTTATTTCTTTGCAATCGGAGCAACCACCAGGGTGATCTCTGTCGGATTATTACTTTTTTTTTTTTATGGGTTTTAGAATACAAAGACTAGTGACAATTGTTCATTTGTGTTTTGTATTTGTATCATGATTAAGATAATTGTATACAAGTAAATTTAGCTCGTACAAGGTGATTTGTGTACATGGAACGAAATATGACGACGTTGATAATATTATTGTCAACAAACTTCATCATTAGGCCCCACCTCAAATCAAGGATGTATTCACTATTCCACTTACAAAATGATACATCCAATGATGGGGTACTATTTCCCTATCTTAATCCGAACCGTATTGGAACTGCCGATTCTGGAACTTAAACTTCCTTAAACGACTCCAGTTCCGGTTCCTAAAATTATGTAACCGCGTTAAGCGGTTCCGGTTCCAGTTTTCATTTTTTCGGAATCGCTACACACTTGGTACCCGGCGGAACAAATATATATATATATATATATATATATATATATATATATATATATATATATATATATATATATATATATATATATATAAAAACAAATGTTGAAAATAAGTAAATCATTCTCAGCCAATCATTTATTTTTTCCTGTAAAACGCTCAAACATATCGTACTGACACCGACAGAGGATGAGTACTATTCATATATAAATATAAATATAAATGTATTCATAGATGAATACACCACCTCCCTCCGCCACCAACCACCACCGCCACTATCACCACCTCTACAACCAACCACCAACAGCAACTGCGACCACCCACTGTCATCATATTCCTGTATGAATAATCATTTCCGTTATACTTATTCATATATGAATATACATATTCATATATAAATACACTTATTCATTCATATATATATATATATATATATATATATATATATTATATATATATATATATATATATATATATATATATATATATATATATATGATTTGTTTTGTCGGGCCGGTACACTGAAGCGCTTAAGTGGTCGATTCAAAATGAATGACCCAGATTCATTCCCTCGTTTTCAACATTTTTTTTTTTCTCAATTAACCTCTTCATATATATATATATATATATATATATATATATATATATATATATATATATATATATATATATATATATATATATATATATATATATATTCATTCTCTCGTTTTCGACCTTTATTTCTCAATTGAACAACTTATTCTCTTAGTGATTCTCATAGCATACGATAGATGTACAATAATTAGTTTGAATAGAATAACCTAAGCCTATATATATATATATTATATATATATATATATATATATATATATATATATATATATATATATATATATATATATATATATATATATATATAGGCTTAGGTTATTCTATTCAAACTAATTATTGTACATCTATCGTATGCTATGAGAATCACTAAGAGAATAAGTTGTTTAACAATGCGAATACGTTCAACTTTACAAGAATATCGTTATTTTCATGCATTCTCGTTAATTTTTTTTTTTTTGTTCTCACACATCGTTTTTCACTCATTTTCATTCTGACAGAATACGACCCAATAAAACATTTTTATTCTGACAGAAAGGAGAATAATAATAATAAGTGTATAATAACGTTATAGACGATTTAATTAGTGAGAATGTGTGTTAATGACAATAGTTATGTAAGATTGAACGTATTTATATTATCAAACAATATATTTTCTTTATCATTCTTATAGCATACGATAGATGAACAATAATTAGTTTGAATACTTAAACCTCTCTCTCTCTCTCTCCATATATATATATAGTATGAATATTTTCGTGTTATTTAGACAAGTTTATAATATAATGGTTTGATTTTATCCATCTTTGGTCCGAACTGATTCGATTTGGGTCACGCTAAATTGTGATTTTATTGATAAAAGTTAACAAAAATTGATGTAACCAGATTACCCGCTCTTTGAACCGGAATTACCGATTCTGGGTTCTAGGACTGGTTCCAAAAATTTTAGAATTGCCTAGACCGGGTCCGGTTCCAGTTATAAATGTTTAGAAACCATAGATTCTAGTTTCGGTTCTGGTTCTCGCCAAATGAGATAGGTATCCGCCTGTACTCATCCATGCTATAGAATTACTCGTATTATTATGAGAAAATTGCAAACTAATCATGTGGTTTGCAATTTCTTTTGGATTTGGTTGTAATAATGTAAGCAGTAAGATTAACAAATCATCAACTACTTAATTATAAATAGACATTTAAAAAATATTTTTATCAATATTGTATTTTTAAAATATTACTAAAGGTCAATTACATAAATGCTCCATATGGTTAATATGCACGGTTGGTTTGTGACTTATTTTTTTTTTTAACTCAGACGGTCCTTATAAATTGGTTTTTTTCGTGTTTAGTCATTATCACACATGAAATTACATTTCTACTTTTATTGATTTATTTATTTATTTATTGCTTTTTGATTATTCATAATAAAAAACTAAAACGGGTCCCACCCATTTACCCCATTCTACCTAATACATCTTGTGCATTTTTTTTCTCTTGATTTATTCCCCTTTCTCTAATTTTAGTTGTCGAAGATCCCCACCCCGATAACCACTTTCTTCTCATTTTATCTGATCGTTGATTGCCGCATCTAAACCACCATCATCTTCTTCGTTTATGCCCTCAAGACCTTCCTATGACCATTTTCCATTCATCGCCACTACAACACGTCGTTACATCCGCCGCCACCTCGACATCGTCCATTGTCACCGACACCTGCAAAACAAATAAAAAATATTGTCAGAAAACTCTGCCACCTGCAAATTCGGTAGTTTATGTAAATAAATCAAATTCCAAACAATTTAGGGAAACATGTTTAAAATCGAATTTGTTGATGATTCAAGGTGTTCTCCATTACATGTTTAGTGGGAGAGCATAATGGCCGGAGAATCATAGTTTTTCCATCGGTAACCTTCACGCCTATTGAGTTTTCATCGATGTTGAGTTTTAGATCGAGTTACTGAATATAAGTAGTGGCTATAAAAAAATTAGGATAGGGTGTAAGGGGAAAGAGAATGGCAAAACGACGTGGCAGAGAGGCAGTCTCCAATGGTGAAATATTAGGTTGTTGGTGGTGAAATATCAGGTCACCAAAATCTGTAATGTAAAAGGTGTAACATCCTAAAAATACCGGCCAAAAATTTCATTTTTAAATACGTCATTATAAAACCAACAGTGTAATAAAATATTTCTAATATCATGTCATGTCAAAACCAAAGTAGAAATAATCAAACATGTTATCATAAAATAATATCAGAGTGTAATCCCAAAGATCTCATGTGCGGAAAACCATAGTGTGATACGCTGCGATTAAGCCGACTCCTTTCCTCTAAACACGAAGTACCTGAAACCAAAACTGAAAACCGTAAGCACGAAGCTTAATGAGTTCCGTAGAGCATACCACACACCACACATACACATATACTAGTAACAGATCACATCGGCCATGCACACAAAGAACCAGCAAGAATGACATGGGCTACCCCACATGGACTTTACCTAGGACTGCCATGGGCTACCCCACATGGTCTTACATCCAATGACATGGGCTACCCCACATGGTCTTTACTTGGAATGCCATGGGCTACCCCACATGGTCTTACACCCAAGGCCATGGGCTACCCCACATGGTCTTTACTTGGACTGTCATGGGCTACCCCACATGGTCTTACACCCAAGGCCACGAGCTCCCCCCGGGGTCTTCATGCAAAACATACGATCACAATGCATATCAAAACACAGAATGGCTAACACATATATCATAATGAAATAATGGGTCGGCATTGGTGCCTTAGACCTATAGGTATGGTGAGAAGAATCACATGGCACTGTTGAAGTTCCGCAGATAAAACTCCAGCTACTAGATGACAGATTCCCAAACTGTCAACACCAAAATAACACCCAATTAATAATTGGGTCCCAACACATAATCATAAATACTTACTTGGATAATTACTACATTACCCCAATGTTGGGTTTATGCAAGCCCAAGGCCCAAAGTCCACTAGGAAATCAAAGCCTAACATATGGCCTAATTTTCCAAATTGGGCCCAGGCCTATACATGGTCTTATTCTAAGGCCCAACATCATATAATCATTAAGGCCCAAACTATGGCCCCATCTATGACCCAATTTTCCAAATTACGCCCAAGCCCCTTACATGGGCCTTACCCTAGGCCCATTAAATTACTCTAGACCATTTACTTGATCTTGGATAGCCCATTTAATAACCCAATCATCAAGGCCCAATAGAAAGGCCCAACAATAAACCCAAGTAAAATTAGGGTTTCACATAAAATGATGATTAGGGTTAAGTTTCCTACTTAACCCATTAAGGACATAATCCTTTAAGGACTTAATCCATTAAGTCTAATATTGCTTAGATTAATTTCCGCCAATGATTATTATTTAATATTCCAAGTTATTAATAAGTCTCGAGTGTGTCCCAAACAATTCCCACAATTAAGGTTTTATGCCCTTAGGGTTTTCCAACCCAATACTAGCCCATTAATGCCTTGGTTGGGCTTTTAGGTCACTTTGGGCCTTATTTAGCCCATTAGGGTCTATTTCGGTCAATTAGGATCCATTAGACCCATTAGGGTTTCCTTAAACCCATTGATCACATGTTTGGGCTTTTATATCCATTAAGCATCATTGGACCCATTAGGGTTTCAAGGCCCATTACGGTTTTAGTCCCTTGTCCAAACATCCCCAGACTAGCAATCCCAACACAACTAAGCATACCGCCACTCGACACGGCGGCCGGTGGCAGTAGGAGGCGGGAACCACCACCCTAAGGTGGTGGTTTTCAATTTCTTTTCATTATACTTTGGCTAATTACACTTTACAATGCCTTAACCAAAAATAAACACACACTAAATACATTAAAAACACACAATGGTGGTTCATGGCGGTAGCCACCATCCTATGGTGGTGGTGATGCCATTTCCGAGAACTTCAACTACACACACACACCAATAGTAGAAAAAAAAAACA